TGTGATGGGGGCAGCAGAAGTGGCGGGGGGCAGGGCCAGAGCACCCCCTCACAGCAGGACCCTAAACCACAAAGCAGCATCTCTGCCTGCAGCCAGGGGCGGGCAGGCCTGAGCCCTGCCGTACATTCAACAAGAGGGGCAGGGGCTGCCTGTGCGTGGACGGAAGCAGAAAACCAAAGCACTTGTGTGCCCCTGCCCTGTTGCGGAGAGCTGGGGCAGAGGGCAGGACCCTGGGGAGGAGGGCAGGGCTGGTGCCGGGGGGGGGGGGTGTCCTGGCCCCCAGGGGGAGGCATGAACTCAGCACTGCCCCTGCCCCAGGGAAATCCCAATGAAGTGGCTCCAGCCCTGCTGCTCACACCCCCAACCAGGAGAGGCAGCCGACAGCTCGGGGTTAAAAGCACCGGGCACCCCCTGCTCCCTTCACCGCCCACCCCCCGAGGGAAGGCCCAGCTCCCCCGGGGTTCTCAGCAGCAACAAACCCTCCAGAAGCCCCTGCCCACAGAGCAGGGCCAGGTCCCATGGAGAGCCCTGCCCCTCCCAGGGGTGTGCCGGTGGCCAAGGCGCATCCAGGCCAGCTCTCCTACTTGTCGATGAGCCCCCCCTCCTTGAGCTTGAAGTAGAAGAACTTCTCCAGGGTGTTGGCACACTTGCAGTAATCGCTGTCGGGTGGGTTGTACTCGCGGCAGTTGGTGATGATGCGCTGCAGGTCGGCGATGAACAGCTTCTTGGTGACGTAGTAGCGGTTCTTCAGGCGCTCTGTCATGGTCTTCAGGTCTGGGGCTGAGGAAGGGTCAGGCCCCCCCAGGCCTCTGCAGCCCCCAGCCACAAAGCTGGACACCAACCGAGGGTCCTCTCTCTTCTGGGCTGTCCTGGGGCTCCCAGCACCCCACTGCCCCAGCCAGGAGACCCCCTCCCCAGCACAGACCCCGCAGACAGGGGGTCTGCAGCCCTCCCTCCACCATCCTGCCCCCGGGGTCTGGGCACAACCACCTACCGATGGGGAAGCGGATGATTTCGTAGTAGTCCGGTGCCTCCGACTTCTTCACCGGCTCCATGAAGGGCCACGCGCTGGGGTGGGTCTGGGGAGAGGGTGGCGGGCAGGTTACAGCAGCCAGCGCAGGCAGCCCCTGCCTGCCCCAGCACACAGGGGTCCTGCTCCCCGTGTGGCTGGGTCACCCCACCTGCCCCCTGAGGGCACAGCCCAGGACAGCCTGTCCCAGGAGAGGCAGCTCCAAGGGCTGTCAGGGGGATGGACACCCCGGAGCAGAGGGTCCCCTCCTGCCCGCACCTTGATCTGGGCCAGGAGGTTCTTCAGGGTGTTGTAGAGCTGGTCCGGATCCTTCAACTCTTTTCTGCAGGACAAAACCAGCTCCTGTCAACCCAAGGGCAGGCAGCCTCTCTCCATCCCAGAGCTCCCACCTCCCCATCCCAGCGCCAGAGCGAGGAGCAGCCTGAGCTGAGCCCCTGCAGCCCAGGGGGAGGACCCCCCTCTTGAGCAGCACTCACCCCTTCTCCTTCCCCAGCGGTTTCCATCCCGTTTCTCCTGGAAATCAAGGGTCAATGTCACCACATCTGCCCCACGCCCACGGGCGAGGGAGGACAGAGCCCTCCTGCCAGACAGCCCTTCCCCGCCAGAAGCTGGCAGGACTCACGGATGCCAGGGACGCTCTCGATGGGGAGCGGGATCTGCCGCACGCCCTCCTTGAAGCAGGTCAGGCCAGGGTAGACCTTGCGGATCTGCGCTTGCTTCCTCTCTATCAGCTTCTTGATGATCTGCAGTGGGAAGGGTGGGTTGGAAGCGGGGAGG